ATCATTTTATAAATAAAAAATTCAATAATTCATGAACCTTTAATTAAATAGATAAAGGTCACAGTAAGCTAAGATTAGTTATTAATCTAAAATAAGATTTCTAATCATTATTAAATCATAGTTAATCTAAATCAAATTATATAACTTTTAAATGTAAAAAAAAAATGAAATCTAATATAATATTAAAAATCAAGAAATGTAGAAGATATTGTCTCCCTCAAAGATTGACTCGTGCTCCTCCTCTCCAAAGGGGATCTTAGCTCCTTATTAATGAATAGGGAGAGGACTCTATTTGTTTTCAAAAAGGTTCTTGAATAGAAGAGGGAAGAGGTTCCTACTTGGGTCAGGAGTCTCATAAAAAAATAATTAAATTTATTAATTAAATAATTAATTTTATGTGCTTCCTAATTCATTGAGTTTGATTATGATTCAAACTTTTTTTGAAAGTTATATTGTTATCAAAAAATCAACTCAAAAAGATGTATTCTGAATTTAAATTATTTGGGAATTAAGTTCCTCCTCCCTTAAACAAATTTGGTACCCAAATTTGATCTTACCTTGATGTTAAGGATTTGGTCAAGTTAATAACACTTTATGATCTATTTGGAGAAAAAAATTGATAATGAGAAGAACTCTAAGAGAAACAGATCTAGATTGCTTGTTGAAAAAGAATTCCTATTCACATAATGATAAAGAAACTTTTTAAGCAATAAGCTTGGACTTTTTGGCTATATAAGCTCAATTTCTTAACGGCTATCATCTCTCCCTTTCTTTTTCTCCACTTTGTTAGGATTGTCAAACCTCATTTATCTTTAGTTGTATGGGGTAAGACTCTTAATTAAAGAAGATTCTCAATTAGAGTTCAACTCTTAGTTCCATATACGCAACTCCTAGACTTATAATTGAATCTTTCAATTCAAATCTAACTCCTAGTAAACTAAGAGAGATTAAATTTGGTATAATGTTGCTAGGACTTCAATCAGAACTCAGACTTGGTCTTAAGTCGTAGCTTAGATTTGACTTATGTTGATCGTCCCTTATCACATCACAGCTCCCTCAATTTGACTATTCAGCTCATGTTGAATAAATAATTAAAAATGAAAAACAATGCTTCGTCAACTTCTTTCGAGCCCTAAGGAACTCAATTTTTATCCTTTGCGTCATACTTAAAAAGCTATTTTGATATCTTATCTTTTAATAGTAACATTCTTTTTTTTTTTTTATGATGGTGTCTTCATTCAAGTCATCTTATCTTTTAATAGTAACATTCTTTTTTTTTTTTTTTATGATGGTGTCTTCATTCAAGTCTTCTCTTAGTTATTGACTAATTCATTTATGGAAGGTAATATTTTGCTTGGCTTATCATCTAGCATCAATAGCTCAAACACTATTTTATTTTTCACATCACAATTGAGAATATATCTTTATATACTTAGGTAATACGAGTTGGCAAGCAATGTCTCTAATTTACTTTAAGACTTTGAATAATCCATATTAGATAGGCTTGAGTTTCTTTCTTTCTTCTTTTAGTTGTTCCTTCCAAAAAGGTAGTCAAGCGAGGTCATCTTAAAATCGACTTTTAATGTAATGTCAATCGTATCATGCTTTGTGTTTCTTTTGAGCTCGTTGATGCTATTATCCAACTTACTTATGGACCTGTTAGATGTACTCGAGAATTTTTTAAGATTGTAGCACTATATTATCTTCGTTTGTGATGCTTAATTGATTATAAATTGCAAATCAAAGGAGTTTTAGGGTAAGTAATATAAATATGCCTTAAATAGTAATTTGGTCATAGAGTTGTGAATTGCTCAATTGAATGTGAATTACAGATATTGTAGGCTTCCATCCTATATCTTTAAATGTGGAGAGTTGTATCCTAGTAGCAGATAAACCATCATGTGATTTACTACTTCAGTTTATATATCTGTTTGCAAATGAAATACTATGTTTTTATTCAATAAGTATCTATTATAGCCCAAAGTGATATCAAAAGTTGCTTAAAAGCCATCCATTTCTATCAAACACAATTGAACTAGGAAGCCCAAAGTCCATCCAAATATATTAAAAAAATACTCTTGAAACTCATTATTTGATTATCATATTCTTAAAAGGCATAAGTACTACTATTTTTGAAATACTTATTCATGACCCTTTTTCATCATGGGAAGATCACTTAAGAAGTCCATGAAAATGCTCTCCTATGGTTTCGATAGAATGGGTAACGATATATATAACCCTAACTTGCGGTTGGAGGTGTTGCATAGCACATATTTCTTTACGAATCATACCATATCCTATTGCATCTAGGGTTAGTAGGCGTAATATTATAGGTTTTGTGATGTTTTGGTCAACTTGTAACCGTGGATGTATGTGTCTCTTGTATCCAATTCATATAATCTATCTCTTTTGATAGATAAAGTTGAGTATTCTTATACAATAATATTTTTCAAAGTGTAAACTTTATATTTATTGATTTGTTTAGGGAAGGATTCAGTAGTAGTCAGCATATTTATGTTTTGTGAGACAATTGATAGAAATATTAAAAGACGAGCAAATTGAAAGAGGAAAAAAATTTAAATTGCTTCGTGAAAAGGAGTGCCACAATTACAAGGAACTTCTTGAGCAATAGCTCAAAATTTTTGATACTTCACTCAAGCTGTTACCTCTTTATATTTTTCTCTCCTTACGATTATTGCTTATATCTTTTTCTCCCTCTCTACTATTATTACCCTAGGGCTATTGCACCCCTTTATTTATAGTCATAGAGAGGAAGATGTCGATTAATCTCTATAGGAGTTGAACTCTTAGTTCCATGCGAGGGACTTTGAGTCCAACTGCTAGTGATCTGGGAGGTATCGAATTCAAGTCCAGTATGGATTTGAGCTAGGTTTATTATCCCTAATTAGTTATTCCTACCTTGAGCTCCTCCATTCAGCCTTTGAACTCTCTAAGTCTTTCTCATACATACTCGTATAGTCATCATATAGACTTGATTATACCTATATTTAAATAGATGAGCAAATATTCATGATCGGGAGCCATGATTACTTGTTAAGTAGTTTGTTTTGTATCTCCTTTTTTATTTGATTACGAGGTTGAGTTACTTTACGTATGACATCTACTTTATATATTAGAGTTTACTATGTTTAGATTATTTATACAAGTATTAGAGTGAGCGATAATAGATGATCGTCTCTTTCCCAAGATGCACACACTAATGCTTGATGGCTTATTTTAGTGTAAGTAATTTTTTAATAATATGTCATGTAGTTCTTTTGATATCCTTCAAACATCTCACATTGATATATCATGGATTGAATGTTTTCAATCAAATAGCTCTTATCACGAATCGAAAGCTTTCAATTAAAGAGGAGCTAGTTTCCTATTATCGATGAAGAGGCCAAGATACCTGCTAGTAAGTTCTTGTAATTTATCATCATTCTTTTTGTTGAATATTATTGATAAGTCCAAGGCTTGTGCTTTCATCTCTACCGATTGAATAAGCATTAGCATGAATCTTTGGCAAGCATTAAGTATCTTTTTTGCTTGATAGACTATCATGAGGCTATGCATAAGCTATTTTCTTATTTGACAATGAATCTTTTACCATCCTTTAGGAACTCATATCACTGGAACTGATAGTATTCGATGATATCTTGATCCCAAATATATAAAATTAAAATAAATTAATCATATATGTCGAGAGGCACCATTTCATATAATACATCATTGATGGTGAAACATAATTTGAAGGTTTGATTTATCCTTAATTTTTTTTATCCAACCTAATGGATATGGTTTCAAATAAATTATTATTTATATGTGTATATCAAGTTTGTTAAAACGAGGCTTTTTGATTGTCACTGTCTTATCGATGATTTCTTACTTCACCAAAATAATTTTATATATCCATCGGTACTTAAATTTAGGATTATTATTATTATTATCGTAAACACACCTAATGATAAAAGTGTATTACATTGATGTATTTTTTTATCATCAACAGTCAAATGCGTTCATAATAAAATATAGTAAAACATAGGATTTGACATCCCTTAACATTACTTTGATAAAAAAAGATTGGATTTTGATTTCAGAATTTAATGTCAAATAAATGAAAGAAAAGAAAGGGAAGGAATCCTTGTTTTAGATCATGAAACTCTATGGATGTTTTTGGAAACATATTTATATTTTAAATATATATTTAAAAAACTAAAGTGAATATGCACTTGTATAATGCTCTGAATATTTAATCTTTATTAAAAATAAGTAAATATTTTTTTTATCCCAACAACTTATGCATCACCATAATCTATCTTATATATCTAGTAATACATAAATTTATGTATCATAAACCCACCTAGTGACTCTTTTATCGTGAGTAGCCATTGTTTGGCAAAAGACACGATTTAACACCCCTACCAAATGTGAGTTCTTGTTATCACTCTTGATAAAAATAAAAAAAAAAAAGATTGTATTTTGACCATCAAAATCTAGTGCGAGTTAGATGAAAAAGGGGAGGAATCCCTGTTCTGGATCGCCATGAAGCTCTAAAGGGCAACTAAAATTTAATTCCATGGGCTCTGATCGACCCGTGCCAGATCTCCCAATGCACCACGAAACAGAGTTCTACCTGGCCTGTCACAATCCGCTAAGCGAGCGACGGATTCCGACCAGGTTGGCGGCTCCAGGAGACTGTTCCGTGGATCCGATTAGGGGTTACATATGAAAGACTTTTAGGTGGGGTCCACAGTCTGGACGACTGTGCTACGGGATTTGAAGAGCTGAACAGAAGGCTTGCTTGGAGAGGATCCTTTCAAAACTCGGTTGACCCCCCGTTAGACGCAGGTGGAAAACTGGTGACACCAAATCTGGTCATCCCCAGTGATGCAGCTCCATCTCCCGACACGTGGATCTTGAGATCCAGACAAGCTGATGGTTTGGTTAGCGGTCCCATCTAAAACCCCCGGCACTCCGCGTCGGACCCTCCCGCCGCTCCGCTCCAGTCCATCCATCCCGCCTCATTCTTCTAACCCTAAACCCCTACCCTCGCCCGCCGCCAATGTCATCTCCGTCTCCCACCGCCAACGATAACAAGAAGAAGAAGAAAAACAAGGACGACCAGAAGTCCGCCGCCAATGGCGGCATCGAGCGCACCTCCCTCCCCTTGCTCCCCGCCGCTTGCTTTGGTGGAGACCAGGACAAGGACTACTTTATCAAACCCCAATCTTTCACCCCGGCCGTCGACACCTCGACGTGGCCGATCCTCCTCAAGAACTACGACCGCCTCAATGTCCGCACCGGCCACTACACGCCGCTCCCCGCCGGGCACTCCCCTCTGAAGCGGCCGCTCGCGGAGTACCTCCGCTACGGCGTCCTCAACCTCGACAAGCCCTCCAACCCTTCCTCCCATGAGGTGGTCGCTTGGATCAAACGCATCCTCCGCGCTGAGAAGACTGGCCACAGCGGCACCCTGGACCCCAAGGTCACCGGCAACCTCATCGTCTGCGTCGACCGCGCCACCCGCCTTGTCAAGTCCCAGCAGGGCGCAGGCAAGGAGTACGTCTGCGTCGCCCGCCTTCACTCCGCTGTCCCCGACGTCGCCAAGGTCGCTCGCGCCCTCGAGACCCTCACCGGTGCCGTCTTCCAGCGGCCCCCGCTCATCTCCGCCGTCAAGCGTGAGCTCCGCATCCGGACCATCTACGAGAGCAAGCTGCTTGAGTACGACCCCGACCGGCACCTGGTTGTCTTCTGGATTTCCTGCCAAGCCGGAACCTATGTTCGTACCCTCTGCGTCCATCTCGGTCTGATCCTTGGCGTCGGAGGGCACATGCAGGAACTGCGGCGGGTCCGCTCGGGGATCCTTGGCGAGAAGGATAACATGGTGACCATGCACGATGTGTTGGATGCCCAGTGGATGTATGACAATTTCAAGGATGAGAGCTACTTGAGACGGGTGGTGATGCCATTGGAAGTGCTGCTCACCAGCTACAAGAGGCTCGTTGTCAAGGACTCCGCAGTCAATGCCATTTGCTATGGAGCAAAGCTGATGATTCCTGGACTGCTGAGATTTGAGAATGATATTGAGGTTGGGGAGGAAGTTGTGCTGATGACCACAAAGGGTGAAGCCATCGCTTTGGGGATTGCCGATATGACTACAGCAGTTATGGCAACTTGTGATCATGGATCGGTTGCAAAAATAAAAAGAGTGGTGATGGATCGGGATACCTACCCAAGGAAGTGGGGTCTGGGGCCAAGAGCACTAATGAAGAAGAAGATGATCGCAGAAGGTCTGCTAGACAAGCATGGGAAGCCGAATGAGAAGACACCAGCTGAATGGCTCAGGAATGTGGTGTTACCAACCGGTGGAGATTCAATGGTTGCCAGCCTTGCTGCAGCACCAGAGTCTGTGGTGCAGAAGGAAGAGGTAGTGTTTGAAGTGGTGAAAGAGAAGAAGAAGAACAAACACAAAGATGGCACTTATAATGATGACGATGGTGAACGGCGGAAACGGAAGTTGGAGGATGCCGGAGAAGTTCCTCCTGTTAAGAAGGTAAAGATCGAGGGACTTCAAGATGCTATACTTGGTGCTGAAGCAAAGAAGGTGAAGGACGAGGTTGAGGAAGCACTCGAGGAGGAGAGGAGCGAGAAGAAGAAAAAGAAGGATAAAGAGAGAGAAGCAGAGGAATTAGCTGATGGAGAGAAGATTGTAGAGAAGGTAAAAAAGGAAAAGGGCACCAAAGACGAAGGCAAAGCAGGTCCCTCTGATGAAGAGAAATCTATGGAGAAAAAAAAGAAAAAGAAGAAGAAAAGTGAAGAGGTCATTGACAGTAAAGAAAACAAAGTGGTGGAGAAAAAAGTGAAAAAGAAAGAGAAAAAGAAAAAGAACTACGAAGCAGAGGAAACATCAGCATGACGAAGCAGATCATGTTATTTGGGGATGCCACTAAAGTGTTTCAGTTGAACTGCCTATGGTCATTTAATTGTGGTATATGCACACAGATCTGTTTCTTATTCTTGCAAATCAGATTTATATGATGTAAGGCACATGTTAAGCGCCATGGGTTTCGGCTTATACCTATTTGCCTTCCATTTTTCTTTATGAAGAATTTGTACGATTGAAGAGAGCAAATCACATGAAGATGTCTAAAGCCTCTGTTTTGTACTTTTTAATTAATTGCTGATAACTCATGTTCTAATTTCCTAGCATGATGATTAAATTTGTTATTGTTAATTGTGATCTTAGTATTTTTTGTGAATCAAATGTTCCTATTGTTGGATAAACAAAGTATTTAATCATATCTTTGGATTTGTGAACATAATATCTCACCTCTATTGGCGTTAATATAGATTCTGGACTTCCACACTATACCAATTTAGCTTTTAGTTAATTGTGATTCTCCCTTTCTAACCAAATCTTTTTCTTCTTTCCTGCACTGATTAATCAAGCCATTGTTTATATGTACGCAGTTATTGAGCACTAAAACTTCTGCTGGGAAGTTTTTTTTTTTTCTTTTGTATTATTGTGTGGACTTTTGTGTATTTCCATGAGTTAATATTGTATCTCAAATTACTTTGAGCAGGTAGGGGTTTCATATACTTTTAGTAGTTAGGCTAATATCTGTTTCTAAATTTTTCAATTGAGAAAAGGTCATCTTGATACTGCTCATATAATATTGTTTCATCGGTTGACTTCTGTTACAGGTGAGGATAATCATGTCATTCAGTATGTATTGTATGTTATCGCTGCAACATTTACTGCTGTGTACAAGCATAGTTGATCAGTAGTTGTAGATTGGATATTGAATATTCATAATCTTTACATTTTTTTGTATTGAAACTCATGATTCTGTAGTTTTAAATTTTCTGATAGGTTTTGGACATGGTTAAAATGAGTCTCATGACCTTGCAAAAAGCCCGTATGAGAGGTTCATTTTAATTAATAGGAATATAGGATCATGGACTGACATTAGAGCTGATGTTGCAGTTGGTCAGTTTTAGTTGCTGCTTGATAGTCATATAGCTCAGATATAACTATTATTTGTGTGATCGGAAACTGAGCTGTCAGATATATTGACCTTAAGACAGATTGATATTCCTCACAGTTTTACATCTGGTGACGACAAACTATGATAAACTTTCATGGCAATTTATTTATGTGGAAGAATCCTTTTTTGACCAACGGCAAATATTGAGTATTGTATTCATTATATATTGCTACTACCAAATGGTCATGTCTAGAAAATCCCATTACTTTTTCAAGCAGAATGAGACTTTTATGAATATTCTTTTGTCAGAAATCTTACACACATTGCTGCTAAAGTTTGGTGAGTTAATCATTCGGGCAAAATCTTAACTATTATGCTTGTATAAGTTTCCTTTTGTGCTTAGACTGTCTAGATATTTGACATGGAAACAAAGTGGTTTTGTTTGCTTAGGCTTCTCATAGGCCTTGTGTTCATACCTGTTATATATTTTACCTTTTAACCCTTTTTCCTGTTTGAATTATAGCCAACAACAATACCAAGCCAAAGATTCCTTTTGCTAGCTACTGAGGGTACATAGAGTTGATAAGAGACAGACATGTATTTTCCTTTTTTGAGTTCTGTAGTGCTTGATTTGAATTTGTAATTGAAAACTTCATAGTCGAGAGGTGCTCAAGTAGTAGGTGAAATTGAAGTTGGACTGAGCAGGGTAAGAAAATTACCTGATATGAAGTTCTAGACGTTTTGACTTCATTGTGCATGAAACAAGTCGAATAAAGCGTGCATTTCATGACCATGTTCGCATGATTTTTTTTCTTTTGTAGTTACCTTGTTGGAACTGCTAAACATTGTCTGCCTAAAAAAACATCCTGGTGCTCTTCCACTTCAAATTATGATGGTCATGTGAAACATTTGGCTAGAAACCAGCTCTTGGTGTTGAATCTTTTTTCTTCCTGGAGTGCTCAGTATAATGTACTGTTTTTCTTTACTTGTTCCACGTTGGTGTCTTCAGCAGTGGTTGATTTTTCTGCAGTTATTTGCCTGAGGCAAGATGACAAAGGTCTTAGTTCTTATCTATAGTTCTCTTTGTTGTGATTTCATAAACAGAATTGAAGGAAAATTTGACTGCTGTAGAATTTCTCTCAGGAAGGGTTTAGCTCTCTTCTTTTCAAATCCTTTTCCTGCTACAATATCTACTTTTTGTATATAGATTACAGGTGTATATAGACTACAGTCATGTGGTTATGGTTGTATATAGATTGATAGTTATAGGATCATTGACTACAAATCACTAATTTTTTGGTTTAAACAGGTTTTGGTGGCTCAGTTTGCACTATGGTCTAGCCAACCAAACTGCTCTTGGCCTGGTCCGATGTGATTGGGTTGGGTTTATTTGGTCAGCTGCAAGGTTCATAAACTTCTAGTTTTTGGTTCATGAGATGGACTTGGGACTTGGGACTTGGCTGACATACCTTTCTACAACTTGCAGAAAAATTGCTGGATGGACTATGATGCCATGAGTAATCTCTGAAGTAAAACAGGACAGTCATTTGCGAACCTCAGTGCCCTTTTCACTCAGGTGCGTCTTGGGGCTCAATTCGTCTTGTGCTATATGCCTAAGGTAGTTGTTTCACATGGTAGATGAGTTCCCATTTAGCCTTGTCCAACATGCCATTATGTTTCAATTGTTTTTGACAACTTATACTCTCTAATCACTCTACTTTGGCTCAACTTTGGTTGAAGCAAGATCATGTTATTTGGAGTTCAGTAAACTAGTTAAGGCTTGAGTAGACAAAGGGGCTTCCATTTACTTACAGTCTTGTACGAAATTTAGCCAAATGATAATAAAAGGATGAATCTAGTACATGCATGAAGCATTATCTATACATGTAGGGATGTTATTTTCGTGACTCAAGCCCTGATCATCAAAATAAAAATAAAGAAAACAATCTAGGATCAGTGAAGTCGTGCAAACTGAAGATTTTATGGGTTAACATTAGTTGGGGTTAGGTTGAGACTGATCCAAATGCTAATCTGACTTTGAGCTACCATTCAAATGACCTAACCTAGCCCATTTGTTGGCTTCGGACAGTCAGACATGAGTTGATATGATTCCACTCCATAATTTATTACATATTTCAATTGCAACGACCTTTGGCATCATCACTCATCCCTCAAAATTTTGTGGTCCTAAACACAAATGGTGGTGCAGTAACTAGGATGAGGACAGCTCATTAGCTTGAAGCTCACTGAAATGAAGGTGGTCCTTCCTCTGTACAGATAAGAGAGTCATGATCATGAACAATGGAAGGTGTAGGGTAATGGGACAAAGGGAAGGGGTGGATCATGGAGGACTCCAAGTCCCCATCCACCTTGAATCCAAACACCACTTGTGCTTTACTTGCTTGGAAAGGCTAGTAAGTAACCTTTTGGTGGTCCTCTGTGAGGGATGGAGCCCTCCATCCAACTTTCCTTGTCATTAATGTGCATGCCTAGCCACCCTTGAAAAGAAAAACTTGGGCACATGAGTCATGACTCCTCCTGGCCTATTCCATTATTGTATCTTCCTCTGTTCATCTCTACATCGTCACTTATTGCCTTTTGTCTTCTTGGGCCTGCATGGAGGAGGAATTTCGGGCAAAAAAAGATGTGCCATTAATTGTTCAATGCTGTTAATGTGTAGCTGTCTTATATATTTTTGAGAAATTCTTAAATGGATTGGGTCGGAACAAAACAAAAATGGTTCTGAAAGCTACGCCATCGTCTATGTATTTCTCTCACCGAACGAAAAGAAATTGTATTCTCTTCTTCTTTTCATCATCCTCCTCCACAATCATTCCGACCCAAAACTAATAACCTCTGGTTATATTTTCTTTCTTCTGCTTCTGCTTCTTGTTCTTGTGACAATCAAAAGTGCTGTAGGATCTTTATCTGCTGCGTTAACATCAGCAGTGGCCAGGTTTTAGATACCATGATCAAAATACTGATGATGCTGTGGAAGAATACCTGTTCTGAGAGTGTTTGCTATGTTGGTACTGCCCTATTTGTCCTAAACATCCAGCCTCGGAGAACCACCTTGTCGAGGCTGAACATGATTCTGTCTAAAAACAATCCTCCAGATTTTAGCTCTTCTTTGGTCAAGGCAGAAAAGTTTTGGCCATCTCCTGTGGAGGTGGCCACCATGCATTGCTAGGGTCAATATTAGTGTCTTTTCCCTGATTGTTAACAAAGCCATTTCCTCATATCAAAACGTTTTGGTGTCAAAAGTCTTCCCATCTCCCACGGCCTTAATCGGTGTTATTTATTTTCAGTACTTATCCGAACTAAGACTGGGATACCTACTTGTCTATTCGAACCTGGTTTAAGCGGGTCAGGTAGATGTGGCTCATTGGCAACCTCTAAATTTGTTATGGCTTGTGTGCTACATAGAAATGATGTGTTTAACACATGAGATGATGGATTTATTGTACCATGAGGTTTGCTTGTGGATGAGATGCTGTGCTCTAATAGATTGTGGATTCAAGTCTTCGAAGGCCCCCATCAAGTTCTTATTCTGAAATAGCAGAACGATGGTTATGACTCACGATTTCCATGTCCTTTTCATGTGGAAGATGCCATGATAGTAAGCAACCATTAGTTAGCTTCGACCAAGTCCTTGGAGTCTGCTGCCCGCACTTTTCTGTGGTCAAGCTAAAGCTAAGGATCGAGGTGGGTCGAAAGGAAGAGGTAAAAGCAAGGCATGCAACCCAAAAGAAAAGGAAAGCGAGATGGAAGACGAGGGAGGGGGAGAGGGCCTGCTTTCCGAGGTCGCTCCCACGTCAAACACCCAAGAAAATTGCTGCCCCTCTGTGGGGGCGTGACCGACCATTCTTCTCCTCCTCTTCCTTTTTTCCTTCACTATCGCGATCCATGTCCTCCGAGACTTGCACTCAGTCTTGCTCCTTTCGCACGAGTACAGACGAACGTGTGGTATAATTAGTATAATTATTATTATAGAGGAGGCAAAAGCAAACCCTATCCCCCTTTTTGTCACTATTCTTCCCTCGGGGCTGCTACTGAAACTATGACGTGTAGAGCATACAACATGCTGTGCTCTTTCTTAATGAGTTCCTCATCATCAGTTCTTCTGCACTAAGAGTGGGAAGGAACAGTGCAACCGCGACTCTAATGAAGGGAGAGACAGAGAGAGAGAGAGAGAGAGAGAGAGAGACTGGCCACCAGAAT